ATTCCTTCCATTGGCGCCAATGATGGGGCACTATTCCTCCCACTGATACCAATGATGGGGCACTATTCCTTCCATTGGCGCCAATGATGGGGCACTATTCCTCCCACTAATACCAATGATGGGACACTATTCCTCCCACTGACACCAATGATGGGGCACTATTCCTCTCACTGACACCAATGATGGGGCACTATTCCTCTCACTGACACCAATGATGGGGCACTATTCCTCCCACTGACACCAATGATGGGGCACTATTCCTCCCACTGACACCAATGATGGGGCACTATTCCTCCCACTGACACCAATGATGGGGCACTATTCCTCCCACTGACACCAATGATGGGACACTATTCCTCCCACTGATACTAACGATGGGGCACTATTCCTTCCATTGACGCCAATGATGGGGCACTATTCCTCCCACTGACGCCAATGATGGGGCACTATTCCTCCCACTGACGCCAATGATGGGGCACTATTCCTCCCACTGACGCCAATGATGGGGCACTATTCCTCCCACTGACGCCAATGATGGGGCACTATTCCTCCCACTGACACCAATGATGGGACACTATTCCTCCCACTGATACTAACGATGGGGCACTATTCCTTCCATTGACGCCAATGATGGTGCACTATTCCTACCATTGATACCAACTATTTCTCCCATGGATGGGGCACCATTACTCCTCCTAACACCAGTTAAGGGACATTGTTTACTCTGTCGCCAGGACATTTTCTTCCACTGTACGGCCCCCTAATGTTTAAAGGACAGTAAACTGGCCCTTTGTTTGTAAAGTTTAGAGACCCTTGTTTTAGAGGATCAACAACCCTCATTACATACACTTACCAGCCACTTTATTAGGTACACCGTGCTAGTACCGGGTTGGACCCCCTTTTGCCTTCAGAACTTAATTCTTTGTGGCATAGATTCAACAAGGTGTTGGAATCATTCCTCAGAGATTTTGGTAGAAAATGACATGATAGCATCACGCAGTTGCTGCAGATTTGTCGGCTGTACATCCATGATGGGAATCTCCCGTTTCACCACATCCCAAAGGTGCTCTATTGGATAGAGATCTGGTGACTGTGAAGGCCACTGGAGTACAGGGACCTCATTGTCATGTTCAGGAAACCAGTTTGAGATGCTTTGAGCTTTGTGACATGGAGCATTATCCTGCTGGAAGGAGCCATCAGAAGATGGGGACACTGGAGTCATAAAGGGATGGACATGGTCAGCATCAATACTCAGGTAGGCTGTGGTGTTTAAAACAATGCTCAATTAATACGAAGGGGCCCAAAGTGTGCCAAGAAAATCTCCCCCACACCATGACACCACCACCATAAGCCTGAACCATTGATACAAGGCAGGATGGATCCACCACACCATGACACCACCACCATCAGCCTGAACCGTTGATACAAGGCAGGATGGATCCACCACACCATGACACCACCACCATCAGCCTGAACTGTTGATACAAGGCAGGATGGATCCACCACACCATGACACCACCACCATCAGACTGAACCATTGATACAAGGCAGGATGGATCCACCACACCATGACACCACCATCACCAGCCTGAACCACTGATACAGGGCAGGATGGATCCACCACACCATCACACCACCACCACCAGCCTGAGCCGTTGATACAAGGCAGGATGGATACACCACACCATGACACCACCACCATCAGCCTGAACCGTTGATACAAGGCAGGATGGATCCCCCACACCATGACACCACCACCACCACCAGCCTGAACCATTGATACAAGGCAGGATGGATCCATGCTTTCATGTTGTTTACGCCAAATTCTGACCCTACCATATAAATGTCTATTGACTCATCAGACCAGGCAATGTTTTTCCAATCTTCTATTGTCCAATTTTGGTGATCCTGTGTGAATTGTAGCTTCTGTTTCCTGTTCTTAGCTGACAGGAGTGGCACCCGGTGTGGTCTTCTGCTGCTGTAGCCCATCTGCTTCAAGGTTGGACGTGTTGTGCGTTTAGAGATGGTATTCTGCATACCTTGGTTGTAACGAGTGGTTATTTGAGTTATTGTTGCCTTTCTATCATCTCAAACCAGTCTGCCAATTCTCCTCTGACCTCAACAAGGTATTTTGGTCCACACAACTGCCACTCAGTGGATATTTTTGCCTTTTTCAGATTATTCTCTGTAAACCCTGGAGATTATGGTGTTTGAAAATCCCAGATCATCAGGATTTCATGAAATCTTCAGACAAGTCCGTCTGGCACCAACAACCATGCCACGTTCAAAGTCACTTAATTCCCCTTTTTTCCCCATTCTGATGCTCGGTTTGAACTTCAGCAAGTCATCTTCACCACGTCTAGAAACCTAAATGCATTGAGTTGCTGCCATGTGATTGGCTGATTAGCAATTTGTGTTACCAAGTAATTGAACAAGTGGACCCAATAAAGAGACTGGTAAGTGTAGTAAGCAAGTAACCTCCCCTTTAGAAGACATCCATTTTATAGCAGAAATACTGCAGAAGGCCTTTTCCTTTCAACAGTCCAACTAAGGTACAAATCCAGCACATAATACCCAGCAACATCGAAGGTTGATCGAAGGAGATTTTGCATTGCATTCATATAATGATGTGATATACTGCCGTTTACAGCCTGGAACGTTTGCATCGCTTGCTATAACCTGCAAATATCCTTTGTATAAAATCCACCCAGAAAATGTTTACATTACCCACGTTTATGGCGGTAACGGTGACATATATACAGCGAATGTACATATAGACAATTTACACGAATGTATACACAGAAGATGGGAATGGCTGAACACAGACTATGGTATCCCAATAGACCCTCAACATACACAAGATCAGACGTGTCAATATTTGGGTTACATGGCTCTATGATGTTCACTTATAGAGATGACTCCGTGGTATATTGAGGTGGGATAGTACATTCACGCATGTAAGTACATGTTGTTATAAAAGTCTTGATGCACATGAATACACATGTATGTAGCGTGCTCCCTGGGATTTGTTAACCGCTTTCTGAGGCAGGTCCCTATTTCATCTGGATGTCTGGTCCACCATCTTGTCAGCTTTGTAGGAACACCATGGTGAGGAGACCTGTGGAGGGTATACAAGAAATCATCAGAGACGGGAAGGAGCATCTGGAGAAACTAGATCAAGGAGAAGAGGCTCTGGAGGAATGGATCATAAAGACAAGATTCTGGAGAAAAGAAGGCATAAAGAGGAGGCTGTCGGGACACGGGATTGCAGAGACAAGGCTCTGGAGAGAAGGAACCATAGAGAAGAGACCCCGGAGACATGGGATCATAAAGAATGGATCCTGGAGAGATGAGATCATAGAGATGCGACTCTGGGGAAGAGATCATAGAGAAGGGACAATGGAAAGACGGGATCATGAAGAAGGGACTTTGGAGAGACTGGATCTTAGAGAAGGGACTCTGGAGAGGTGGGATCTTAAAGAAGGGCCTTTGGGGATAAGATCATACAGAAAGAACTCTGGAGAGACAGGATCTTAAAGAAGGGACTCTGGGAATGAGATCATAGAGAAGGGGCTCTGGAGAGATGGAATCATAGAGAAGGGGCTCTGGAGAGATGGAATCATAGAGAAGGGGCTCTGGAGAGATGGAATCATAGAGAAGGGATTCTGGAGACATGGGATCACAGAGATGTGACTGTTGAGAGATGGGATCTTAGAGATGCAACTGTGGAGAGATGGGATCTTAGAGATGCAACTGTGGAGAGATGGGATCATAGAGAAGGGACTCTGGAAAGATGGGATCATAGAGAAGGGACTCTGGAGAGACGCAATCATACAGAAGGGACTCTGGAGAGACGCAATCATAGAGAAGGGACTCTGGAGAGATGGGATCTTAGAGAAGGATCTCTGGGGATGAGATAATAGAGAAGGGACTCTGGAGAGATGGGAATTTAGAGAAGGGACGCTGGAGAGACAAGATCTTAGAGATGGGGCTCTGAGGCTGAGATCATAAAGAAGTAGCTCCTGAAAGACAAGAACATAGAGAGGATGCTCTCTTCTGGAGAGATGGGACCATAGAAAGGGGGATTTGAAGAGATTGGATTACTGAAATAATACTTTGAAAAAAAAAAAGGGTAATGGGGGGCGCTGGAGAGAATGGCATACCAAAAACTATAGCGGAAGCTCTGGAGTCGGGATCACAGAGAGGAAGCTCTGGAGACAGGATCACAGAAAGGAAGCTCTGGAGATGTGATCATAGAGAGGAAGCTCTGCAAACGGGATCATACAGAGGAAGCTCTGGAGACGGGATCCCAGAGAGGAAGCTCTGGAGACGGGATCCCAGGGAGGAAGCTCTGGAGACGGGATCCCAGGGAGGAAGCTCTGGAGACGGGATCCCAGGGAGGAAGCTCTGGAGACGGGATCCCTGAGAGGACGCTCTGGAGACGGGATCATAGAGAGGACGCTCTGGAGACGGGATCATAGAGAGCACGCTCTGGAGACAGGCTCATAGACAGAACGCTCTGGTGACGGAATCATAGAGAGGATGCTCAGAAGACGGGATCATAGAGAGGAAGCTCCGGAGACGGGATCATAGAAAGGAAGCTCTGGAGATGGGATCATAGAGAGGAAGCTCTGGAGACGGGATCATAGAGAGGAAGCTCTGGAGACGGGATCATAGAGAGGAAGCTCTGGAGACAGGATCATAGACAGGAAGCGCTGGAGACGGGATCATAGAGAGGAAGCGCTGGAGACGGGATCATAGAGAGGAAGGACATAGATAGTAGGCAAGGCTATGGGGAGATGGAATCCTAGAGAAGAAGCTCTGAAGACAGGATCATAGAGAGGAAGCTCTGGAGATGGGATCATAGAGAGGAAGGATATAGATAGTAGACAAGACTATGGGGAGATTGTGTCATAGAGAGGAGAATATGGAGAAAAGCATCATACAGAAAAAGCTCTAGAGAGATTGCCTTATGGAGAGAGGAATCTATAGAGACAGGATCATAGACAGAGAAGACTCTGGAGAGACTGAATTATTAGATTCGTACCCAACACGTAAGCAGCAACAAGTTTCTGGACAACGGACACATGGAGATTCTCATGGAGGAAGCTCCGGGGGTCGCCATGTAACGGAAGCATCAGGACCACCAGAGATACCAATCCCACCAGAATGTAGAGCCCAAACAAGCCAGGGGACAGTGGGCGTGGAACTCCTGTGGAGACATATACAGGGTTATACCACAGCTCCCTCTTCTTCAGTCTCTATACAAATGTATTGCCCCTACCATGGCGCACTGAGAAGACGTGGGAAGGTGGGTGCCACTTGGGTGATTCACTTGTTACTCTCTCTCTGGACTGGGGTCTGGTTGGATGTAGTGTGGCAGGAATGTCCTTCCTCCCTCCCACTCCTCGTCCTCCGCCCTCTTCCCACACCTCCACACGGAACTTGTCTGTGCTGCCGTAATGTCGCGCTCGGATATCGCGGTGCCGAGTGACTCTGCAGAAGGAAGAAAGATGACAGAGAAGACTTTGTATATTCTACCTACATATAAAAATGTATAATAGCGTCTGACTGTGGGGGAGGGGACATTAGAGTGTAAGCTCCTCTGGTACAGAGACTGATGTGACTGTGGGGGAGGGGACATTACAGTGTAAGCTCCTCTGTACAGAGACTGATGTGACTGTGGGGGAGGGGACATTAGAGTGTAAGCTCCTCTGTTACAGAGACTGATGTGACTGTGGGGGAGGGGGCATTAGAGTGTATGCTCCTCTGGTACAGAGACTGATGTGACTGTGGGGGAGGGGACATTAGAGTGCAAGCTCCTCTGTACAGAGACTGATGTGAATGTGGGGGGAGGGGACATTAGAGTGTAAGCTCCTCTGGTATAGAGACTGATGTGACGGTGGGGGAGAGGGGACATTAGAGTGTAAGCTCCTCTGGTACAGAGACTGATGTGACTGTGGGGGAGGGGACATTAGAGTGTAAGCTCTTCTGGTACAGAGACGGATGTGACTGTGGGGGAGGGGACATTAGAGTGTAAGCTCTTCTGGTACAGAGACTGATGTGACTGTGGGGGAGGGGACATTACAGTGTAAGCTCCTCTGTACAGAGACTGATGTGACTGTGGGGGAGGGGACATTTGAGTGTAAGCTCCTCTGGTACAGAGACTGATGTGACTGTGGGGGAGGGGACATTAGAGTGTAAGCTCCTCTGGTACAGAGACTGATGTGACTGTGGGGGAGGGACATTAGAGTGTAAGCTCCTCTGGTACAGAGACGGTGTGACTGTGGGGGAGGGGACATTAGAGTGTAAGCTCCTCTGGTACAGAGACTGATGGGACTGTGGGGGAGGGGACATTAGAGTGTAAGCTCCTCTGGTACAGAGACTGATGTGAATGGCTCTGTGTTCTCTGTCCAGTGCCATGGAATATGTCCAAGCTACAGACAGTTCATATTTGTGCAATTTGTTATGGTCTGAATTTAGCTTCGGACTAATTTTTGGTTACTCGGAGATTCAGATGTATCCGAATTACAATAGGAAGGAATTTAGTAAAAATTCTTCTTGTTTCGTTTATTTGTTTTCAAATGAATTCCAAATTTTCATAACAATTCGGCTGATCCGAATTCTGTGTGAAGAGTAGCTGGTTGTTAAGGAGATGGCCGGGAAGCCGGCCGCCATGTCCCTAGCAACCGATGACTCATCAGCTGTCAGTGGCTTACCCACTGACAGCTAAATGTAAAAAAAAGAATGGCGGCAATGAAAAAAAAAGAAAAAAAAACGGTGTGGGTCCCCCCCATCCATACCAGGCGCTTCGAGTCTGGTAAGGATTTTAAGGGGAACCTTAACCACACTTTTTGTTCTAAAAAAACAGCATGGAGCCCCCCCCACAAAATTCACATTAGACCCTTTTCCAAGCATGCAGCCTGTCAGGGCAGGAAGGGGTGGGGACCCTTCCCCCAAACCATGCCCATGCAGCGGCAACAAAGCACACAAGGGTCTCTTCCCCTGGGTGGTGGTTGCGGGGATCTGTGGGTTGGGGGGCTAATCAAAATCTCAAAGCCCCCAGATCCCGCCCCCCCCCCCCCAAGTCCTTATTTTAAACCAAAAAATAAATGTCCCCCGAAGTAGATCCAACATCCTGATCATGATGAACACTGCCACATCTGACCCCCCCCAAAAAAAAAAAGAAGAGCTCCACACTCGAGAAGGCTCCCACCGTCTGACAACTCTGCCATCTGAGAGTTCTTAAATAACAAAGGGGTGAGGCCACCAAAAGATGTCACCGGATGACCCCGCCCACTTGTACCATCATCGACCCAAGCACCCCCCCGCCCCATTTGTTGAGAGCATGTGACCTTTCTTGACCTGCTCGGATAAGGGTCTGGTATGGATTTGGGGAGAGGGCACATGTTTTTTTTTTTTTGGTTTTTTTTTTTTTATGTTGGCATGGACCTCCCAATAAAATCCATACCAGATCTGAAGGGCCTGGCATATATGAAGGGGGGGGGGGGGGGGGGGGAGGGGAGGCAACGTCGATTCTTTTTTTTTTTTCATTGCTGGCAATTCTTTTTTTTTTTTTTTCCATTGTCGGCCTTTTTTTTTTTTTTTTTTTTTTTTTTTTTTTTTTACATTTAGCTGTGAGTGGGGAAACCACTGACAGCCAATGAGTCACTGGCTACAGACGCAGTGACCGCCTTCGCGGCCCTCTCCTTAACAACCAACTATTCTTCACACAGAATTCGGATCGGTTGATAAATTTTCGACCTGCGCTATTTCAAATTGTTCTGAAAATGTGGAATTCGTTACAAAATGAATAAACTGAACGAATTTCGAAACAAATCCACGAAACAAAATTAGTAACGTGACAAATTTATCCGAAACAATAACAATAATAACGATAGATAATTTTTTTCCGTTCTGCGCTTCTCTACAGAGCTATATAAAAGTGGAAACCAGTGAATGACAGATTTGGAATGGGGGGGGGGGGGGGGGTGATCTGTTCTCACATGTCAATGCAGGAATTTGGCTTGACCAGTCCTTCAGCATCCACCACTGTGTACCGTAGGGGGGCCGTGGAGAGAACTGCCAGAGAGAAGATAAGCACGTCATTATGGGAGGATGCAGAACCCCTAGAACTCCTTAAAGGAAAACTCCACATTTGTTAGAATTGTATAGTATTGCTACAAACCCCAATTTTTTGGCATTGCGTAGTATATATACACGCTCCAGTAGGGACCTGCTGTCAGTCCGGTCTGTAGGTAGAAGCCGGATTATCAAAGCAATCTGTCACAATGGCATGGGCAGCACAGTGGCTAAATGGTTAGCACTTCCGCCTGGCAGTACTCGGGTCATTGGTTCGAATCCCAACCACAGCACCACCTCCCTGGAGTTTGCATGTTCTCCCTGTGCCTGTGTGGGTTTCCTCCGGTTTCCTCCCACACTCCACAAGACATGCTGGTAGATAAATTGGATCCTGTGTAAATTGTCCCTAGTATGTGTATGTATGAATGTGAGTTAGGGACCTTAGATTGTACGCCCCTTGAGGGATAGGGACTGATGTGAATGTACAATACTGTATATATGTAAAGTGCTGCGTAAACTGACGGCGCTATATAAGTACCTGTAATAAATAAATAATGCCTGTGACGGGAGTGACTTTGGGTGGGGGGCCCATGGAACACAGCTCACTTTGGAGAGGTGGGGAGACCCCTGTCTCAGCTCCCCATATCCCTCTTATGTGTAAGTCACCCTGTGCCTGTTAGGGTACAGGGTGATCTGTCCTAATATTGTCTAGACATGTCTAGGAGATCGGTGGGGTGGGGGTTGTGAATTGTTTGGTGTCATGTGGCTGCATCCTATTGTTCTATTGTTTGCCTGGCTTGGGAGCAAACTATTATGGGATGTATGTGTTTAGGGGTATTAGCTTAGTGGGGGGGGGGGGGGTGTCTCCATCAGCCCTCCCTCCTAATGGGACTGTCTGCTGGTGTGAAGTCTGAATACCTATGTGTCTCTTGTTACTAAATGTAGATTGCCCCGCCCTGTATCATTATGCAGAGAGGGGGGGACTGTCCCCTGAGTGTATATATCTTTTATCTGTGTTCAAATACTGGATTACTTCAAGATTGGTGTCGTCTAGTCTTGTATGGTCGGTTGTGGTGTCTGTTGTTGGTGTTCGGAGTGGTATTCTAATGGAAGTACCCAAGCGCAGTCTGGGGTCGGTTCCGTTACAGTGCCACAGATGAAGGGCTCGTTCTAAGAAGTTGTCAGAGTTGGCGTGGCCTGTCAGGAAAACCAATCACTGTTCCCTGAATGGGTGACCACATGTCACAATGGAACAAAATTCTTTTTCTATTCTCTACTTCAGTTTTTTTTCTACCTAAAATGCATGAAAAACTAAATATTTCCTTGACACAGGATACAACCAAAATACCGATCGATCCCCCGACAATACGATGGGTTCATAACTGTATGTATATAAATAAAGACAGTGGCTACTGAATCGGAAAGCCCTGTAGTTGAACTGTGACACCTGGTCCATCCAATAGGGGCACAAGGCTTCCAGTCCTGACATTATTTAAAGCCAACTTCGGGCTACATGTCCAGGGGGGGGGGGGGGCGGAGCCACAAAACCCTGCACTCACAGTATGTCCTCAGGCTGTTTTTGAGTGTACTGTCATAAGGCACATGCACAGGGTGAGGTGCAAGGTGCCATCAGTGTGACATTATGGTAATCTGTTAAAAAAAAGCCTTGTTTTAGAAGCAAGATCTTCCTGGAGAGCACAGGTGACGTAGTCTTCCCAGGGTGCATCTGTGAAGCCCTGGCTACATCACCAGTGCCTCACTTTACCAGGCAGTGGGGCAAAAAAGGGTACGTTTAACCAGCCTGGCCCCAATCGGCCCATACAGGCACAGTCGCTGGCCTCTTCCAGGTACAGGAGAAGAGAAAGGGGCCATTTGGTGGACTTTATAGGCACTACAACAGTGAGAAGTAAAATAATTGCTTTATTGAACATACATAGACGCACTTGGGAGCGTTGTACATATCCTCACAGTAGTCACCTTGTGTTGGATATCATATCTCTACAATCTTCCAGGTACAGGGTGACTCCCGCTGTGATTAGACACAGTGGCCGATTTTTCGGCCTGAAAAAAAAAATCATCCGATTTTCGCACAGTTAGTGGGTTAATTGGTTGGCCGTTTTTCGGGCTTTTTGCACATTTTTTTTGTCGGTCATGTCGGAATATTCGCGGCCGATTTAGACGATTGGCCGATTTTCCCGGCAATGATGGGCAAATCGGCTGATCGTTTTACCGATAAAAAATCTTTGCATGAGCCGTGACCTGCAAGAAGAAAAGGAAGAAGAAGAAAAGAAGAAGAAAAAGAAGCAGAAGAAAAAGAAGAGGAAGAAAAAGAAGAAGAAAAAGAAGAATTTCAGTCCGCTATTATATTTTATATGAAAAAGTCTTGCGGTTGCAACATTGTATCTATTTGTATCCCAATAAAAACATCTGTATCCAAAATGGATACATTGTTGCATCCGCAAGACTTTTCATATAAGATATAATAGCGGACTGGAATTCTTCTTTTTCTTCTTCTTCTTCTTCTTTTATTCTTCTTATTATTGCTCCCCTGTGTCTGCAAGGGACAGAAGTAATTATGGGGTTAAATGCCGGCTATAGACTGGACGAAAATCGGATGATTTTTTTTACCATTGGTGGTAACGTCGGCCGATCGAACGACCGATTTTTTTTTTTTTTTTTTTAAATGGCCGGTTTTTGATCCGTCTATGGCCTGCTTTAGTCTGGATAAAAAAAGCCAAAATTCCATCCAGTTCAACCAACAAAAAAAAAAATTATAATCCTACACCCACAGTTGATCCAGAGGAAGGCAAAAAAACCCCCAGCAAAGCATGATCCAATTTGCTCCTACAGGGGAAAAATTCCTTCCTGATCCACCGAGAGGCAATCGGATATTCCCTGGATCAACTTTACAATGACAGCCCAGAGCTCCGTGTTGACAATCAACACAGGGCTCTGCATAGAGGGAATGATCTCTTTGTTGCTTCTCCCTGCAAAGCAGGGAGAAGGGAACACAGAGATGTTTTTTTAGTAAAAAGCAGCACATAATACACACATGATCACTTGTTAGGCACACATTTAACCCCTTTGATTACCCCGAGAGGTAACTAGTGTCATTAGTACAGTGACAGTGTGTAGCAGGGGTCTCTTAACTTTCTAAACAAGGGGCCAGTTTACCCCTGGTTCACGTATCCATGTTTTCGCGGGCACGAGAGCCCATTCATTTGAATGGACTCCCGTGCCCCAGGACACGCAGGGAAGAAGTCCATGCACTTCTTCTGAAAACACAGCCCGCACGGGAACCTCTGTTCCCAGTACGGTTGCGATTTCCAGTGCGGGCGGTGTGCCATTAGAATTAATGGCACCCGCCCATGGGGTTCACATTCTTCTGTGCGGGTGGTGCAGCTCCATGGATTTTTGTGCGGATCCATAGCGGCACCACCCGCACAGATGTGAACCTAGCCTTACTGTCCATCAAACTTTAGGAGGGCCGGGCTGTGTCCAGCGGGAGTAGAAAATGTTAGTGTTAGTGAGAGGAATAATGCCCCATCCTTGGTGTCAGTGAGGACAAATTCCCCATTGTAGGTATCTTGGGCAGGAACTATGCTCCATTGTTGCTGACAGTGGGGCACAAAATGGTCCAAGGGCTGGATAAAAGTAAGCAAAGGGCAGCAGTTTTGAGTCCACTGGTGTATAGTATTATCACTGTATTAGTGTCACTGATGATGTCAGTGGCAATTAGTCAGTCCCTCCCCCCCAGCTTCAATTAGTGTCAGATCGCCCGCCACACTATTACAGTCCCACTACAAGCCGCTGATCACCACCATTAGTTTAGATATAAAAAAAAATTCTGTGTCATTGGGCATGTTTTGTATGGCTGTGTGACATGTGCACTGCTGTTATCTTCCTATTGACTGTAAAACTTAATAAAAATCTTATGGAAGAAAAAAAAAAAAAAAGAAATACATCTCTCCTAACTTAGTAAATAAAGCAATGGGTCGTCTTCAAGGTTTCCATTGGGGATGTGCCAGCGATGTGCTAATTTGTCTGCCTCCATAATGGGATTCATTCTAGAGATCCAGCTCACTTACAGTAGGTGGCTGTGTTCTCCTCCAGTTCTCGGGGACCAAACCGTATATAATGGGGGGAAAGGAGTAACCAGACTTTTATAAGCTTTCACAGAGGGCGAGGTGCAATGTAGTAAGCAAAGCAATGGGTCGTCTTGAAGGTTTCCATCGTTGATGTCCCACATCGCTAAGTTGTCTGCCTCCATAATGGGATTCATTCTAGAGATCCAGCTCACTTACAGTAGGTTGGTTGTGTTCTCCTCCAGTTCTCGGGGACCAAACCTTATTTGCTGGAGGGAAAGGGGTAACCCAACCTTTATAAGCTTTGACAGAGAGTAGGGTGCAATGTAGTAAATAAAGCAATGGGTTGTCTTGAAGGTTTCCATCGGTGATATCCCAGCGATGTGTTAATTTATCTGCCTCCATAATGGGATTCATTCTAGAGATCCAGCTCACTTACAGTAGGTTGGTTGTGTTCTCCTCCAGTTCTCGGGGACCAAACCTTATTTGCTGGAGGGAAAGGGGTAACCCAACCTTTATAAGCTTTGACAGAGAGTAGGGTGCACTGTAGTAAATAAAGCAATGGGTTGTCTTGAAGGTTTCCATCGGTGATATCCCAGCGATGTGTTAATTTATCTGCCTCCATAATGGGATTCATTCTAGAGATCCAGCTCACTTACAGTAGGTTGGTTGTGTTCTCCTCCAGTTCTCTGGGACCAAACTTTATTTGCTGGAGGGAAAGGGGTAACCCAACCTTTATAAGCTTTGACAGAGAGTAGGGTGCACTGTAGTAAATAAAGCAATGGGTTGTCTTGAAGGTTTCCATCGGTGATATCCCAGCGATGTGTTAATTTATCTGCCTCCATAATGGGATTCATTCTAGAGATCCCGCTCACTTATGGTAGGTTGGTTGTGTTCTCCTCCAGTTCTCGGGGACCAAACCTTATTTGGTGGAGGGAAAGGGGTAACCCAACCTTTGTAAGCTTTGCAAGAGAGTAGGGTGCAATGTAGTAAATAAAGCAATGTGTTGTCTTGGAGGCTTCCATCGTTGATGTTCCTAATTAGTTTATGGATATCATCCCACAGGGGTTTGATCAAGGGGGGGAAGTTCCATCACTCGTGGGGATTGGAGTCTCATTGGCCGCATCTTCTCCAGCATGTGGTGGACGTGTCTCTGTGGTCAGTTTCTAGTAACTCCATGCCATCTACTGAGTTTATAGCAGATCTCCTGTGCTTTTTGAGATGATGGAGGTTTATGAGGGTCGAAGAGAGGCCATCTCTCCTGCTTCTTGAAGAAGTAGAGTCCTACATCTTGTTGGCCACAAAATAAAAGTTTGCGTTTGATTGCCAGCAGACCTCAAGTGACTGACATGGGAAGGGTTTCAAATGGGGTGAGGAGATCTTACTGGTCCTGCCAAGTTGGTAAGTGTGAAATATTGTAGTTGTTGCACCCAATTGGAACGCCCCATACCCGTTCCTGAGATTGTCTAAATGTTGTAGCTGTCTGCCATGGAGAAATACCTGGTACTGCTATCTGTTGCCCAAGATTCAAAAAGAGAGAGGTACTCCCGAGGGGGGGGGGGGGGGGTTCAAGATCAACGGAGGGGCAACCTTTATGGTCTCAGGGTGTATGGTAAGGGGTGAAGTCACCTCTGAAATGCTCCTGTGGGCTGGAGAAATCCGTAGGCCATGGGCCAGATTATGTCCCACCATGGTTTTCTCGAAGGGAACCGATACGTAGAGGTATATGTATATAGAGCTGGAATAGCTGTCCATCCATGCATGGAAGTTCGTTCTGGCACAGAATCGGCTTGGCTAGATTCCCTGCAGATCAAATGTATAAATGGGGAAGATACTACAATGACTATTTCAGCTCCATCTAGTGGCCATAATGTGATAACGTCCCCATTTACACTTTTTTTTTTCCAATGTAAAACATTCGATCTGCAGAGAACGTAGCCTAAGAACATTCCATTTTTGTACCATTTGCACAGAACGAATGAACATGCAGCTTTGATGGATGATGGATAAACAACTATGCAAGTTTTTTTTTAATAAATGTCGCTTTTGTGTTTAAAATGGGACCACCAGCTACGTATTCTTGACATAGAAGGGGGAGGAGCCATTGACAAAAGAATGATCTCTGCCATGGTTATGGCGGGTTACGCACACCGGACAGTCTCACGTTTCAGGCTGTGGGGGAAGGGTTTACCTAGCACACAGTGCAGGCGTGTGTCGGGTGCGGAGGCTACGATAAATAACCACTTTGGGGAGAAAGAGCTTTGTGGCGCAGAGGACGCGAAAAAAAAGGACCCCCCCACCCCAGCACAGTACTGCGGAGTCTCACCTTTGTATCGGAGCACTCGGGGGAAGGGGTTGTACAGGGTCAGCACCTGCTTGTGGCTGGCCTGGTCATCGGCGTAGAAGTCCAGAGCGGGAGGGAAGATGAAGATGGGGAGGGGGGAGCGGCTGCCAGAAGGCAAAGACGCCTCGGGGGTCGTCCTCCTTTCATCTTCTTCCCCTCTGGCGGGAACCCTGTGCATGGCCGGCTACATACGCTGCACATTGGTCACATCACATCGCTGCACAGGGAGATGGGAGGGGAACCTCAGGGACCGGACACTGCATGGGAGAAAGAAGAACAATTACTGTATAGAACTCCACATGGCTCTGACATAGTCTGCAGTGCTGTACAAGAGAAGCAACACAGTGTGCACCACAGGAGCTTACACTCTAATGTCCCCTCCCCCAGAGTTCCATCAGTCTCTGTACCAGAGGAGCTTACGCTCTAATGTCTCCTCCCCCAAGTCACATCAGTCTCTGTACCAGAGGAGCTTACACTCTAATGCCCCCTCCACAACAGTCACATCAGTCTCTGCACCAGAGGAGCTTACACTCTAATGGCCCCTCCCCCACAGTCACATCAGTGTCTGCACCAGAGGAGCTTACACTCTAATGGCCCCTCCCCCACAGTCACATCAGTGTCTGCACCAGAGGAGCTTACGCTCTAATGTCCCCTCCCCCACAGTCACATCAGTCTCTGTACCAGAGGAGCTTATGCTCTAATGTCCCCTCCCCCACAGTCACATCAGTCTCTGTACCAGAGGAGCTTACGCTCTAATGTCCCCTCCCCCACAGTCACATCAGTCTCTGTACCAGAGGAGCTTACGCTCTAATGTCTCCTCCCCCAAGTCACATCAGTCTCTGTACCAGAGGAGCTTACACTCTAATGCCCCCTCCACAACAGTCACATCAGTCTCTGCACCAGAGGAGCTTACACTCTAATGTCCCCTCCCCCACAGTCACATCAGTCTCTGTACCAGAGGAGCTTACGCTCTAATGTCTCCTCCCCCACAGTCACATCAGTCTCTGTACCAGAGGAGCTTACACTCTAATGCCCCCTCCCCCGCAGTCACATCAGTCTCTGTACCAGAGGAGCTTACACTCTAATGCCCCCTCCACAACAGTCACATCAGCCTCTGCACCAGAGGAACTTACACTCTAATGTCCCCTCCCCCACAGTCACATCAGTCTCTGTACCAGAGGAGCTTACGCTCTAATGTCTCCTCCCCCACAGTCACATCAGTCTCTGTACCAGAGGAGCTTACGCTCTAATGTCTCCTCCCCCACAGTCACATCAGTCTCTGTACCAGAGGAGCTTACACTCTAATGTCCCCTCCCCCACAGTCACATCAGTCTCTGTACCAGAGGAGCTTACACTCTAATGTCCCCTCCCCCACAGTCACACACTATTATTATTATACATTTATATAGCTCTGACATATACTGTGGCGCTGTACAGAGATCATGTTCCTTGTTTTTCTAAATTCAGCATTCTGTCACTTCTGACAAGTTTTCCTGACACCAAGAGATACAATGGTGACAGGAGGGAGATCCAGCACACAGCCTATGATTGACAGTCTCTGCTCCAATTCTGTGGGCTGAGTGGAGGGGGGGGGAAGGGGGGGCCCTTCCCTCCAATCAGCTCTCAGAGCTCTCCTCACTGAGCTCTGTAGAGTGTAATTTCAGCTCTCCTCCCCCTGCTTTCTGACAGCTCAAACATGCTTTGCAAATTCTGCACCTTTGAACCGCTGTGGGGAAGAGAATACTGCAAGTAAACAGGTACAACTTATGCAGGGGGATTTGTTTGATCTCTGTGTATCACCCGAGGCCGGTCACTTGACTGGGTATAGAGAAAGGCTTACAGTCACTTCAATCCCGGGGTCACACTGCGGCTCCCATTCCTGTGTGTATTACATGTGAATGTCGGTGCGCTGCGATTTGTACATTTTATACGGCTCAAATCACATCCGAACCAGCAAGGTGCAGGACCCTTCTCTACATCCGCACCCGACTCGCATCGCATGACTGTTCCCTCCCGTGATGGAATTTCTGAGGATCGTATCGCGTTCTGCGCTCTGTTCCGGAGTGTCATTAATTATCACTGACACCCGCACCATGGACGCGATGCGACTGCAGTGCGGTGCGGGAAACACGTAGAATTCACAACATTTCCCGCACCGCATTGGTGTGAACCCGGGCTAAGACTGAATGAAAACATGACCCTGACCTCTGACCCCGGTCACCTCCTGATCTGCCTACTTTACCCGCACTTAATATTTTTATCAGACATTTGGGACTGCACTGTTTATATCGCCCGACGCCCAGGACATGCGGTTCAGGAGCCCGGGACATGCGGTTCAGGAGCCCGGGACATGCGGTTCAGGAGCCCGGGACATGCGGTTCAGGAGCCCGGGACATGCGGTTCAGGAGCCCGGGACATGCGGTTCAGGAGCCCGGGACATGCGGTTCAGGAGCCCGGGACATGCGGTTCAGGAGCCCGGGACATGCGGTTCAGGAGCCCGGGACATGCGGTTCAGGAGCCCGGGACATGCGGTTCAGGAGCCCGGGACATGCGGTTCAGGAGCCCGGGACATGCGGTTCAGGAGCCGGGACATGCGGTTCAGGCGCCCGGGACATGCGGTTCAGGAGCCCGGGACATGCGGTTCAGGCGCCCGGGACATGCGGTTCAGGCGCCCGGGACATGCGGTTCAGGAGCCCGGGACATGCGGTTCAGGAGCCCGGGACATGCGGTTCAGGCGCCCGGGACATGCGGTTCAGGCGCCCGGGACATGCGGTTCAGGAGCCCGGGACATGCGGTTCAGGAGCCCGGGACATGCGGTTCAGGCGCCCGGGACATGCGGTTCAGGCGCCCGGGACATGCGGTTCAGGCGCCCGGGACATGCGGTTTCAGGAGCCCGGGACATGCGGTTCAGGAGCCCGGGACATGCGGTTCAGGCGCCCGGGACATGCGGTTCAGGCGCCCGGGACATGCGGTTCAGGCGCCCGGGACATGCGGTTCAGACGCTGGTGTCTTTGTTACATTTAGCCCTACTGCGGGCAAGCGGCCCCTTTAGCCTGGGTTCAGACGTGTGCTGGAATCGCACTTTCATTCCACTTTCTGTGCAATTTCAGTACAGGTGCGATTTTGCCAGCTCTCTCTCAATCAACTGCCTCCCATTGACTTCAAAGCAAAATCGCCTCCCATTGACTTCAAAGCAAAATCGCCTTCTATTGACTTCAATGCAAAAACGCCTCCAGTTGACTTTAATTCAAAAGCAACTCCCATTGACTTCAATGCAAAAGCAGCTCTGATTGACTTCAAAGCAAAATTGCCTCCTGTTGACTTCCATGCAAAATCGCCTCCTATTGACTTCCATGCAAAACCATCTCCCACTGACCTCAATGCAAAATCGCCTCCCACTGACTTCAATGCAAAAATGCCTCCCACTGATTTAAAGGCAAAAAACGCCTACCTTGACTTTAATGAAAAAAAAAACCTCCTATTGAGTTCAATGCAAAAACGCGTCCTGTTGACTTCAATGCAAAAATCACGTCCCATTGACTTCAATGCAAAGGCAACTCCCATTGACTTCAATGCAAAATCATGTCCTATTGACTTCAAAGCAAATTTCATTTTTAAAGGGACAGTGTAAAAATAAAAAAATGTATAAAAATAAATACTAATAAAAGAATTAAAAGGACAGAGTAAAAATAAAAAAATATATTTTTAAAGCACCCCCATCCCCTCCCCTCTTGCGCAGAGGCAAAGGCATACTTAGGTCACGCATGCATATGTACACCGTGACTGCACCACACGTGAACGTTCTAGGGAGAGGAATCATTCTAGTGGCAGACCTCCTCTGTCCCTGTAAAATTGGGTAACAGATTCCACCCCCCCAGAGTGAGATGCGGATGGTGTCACCTAGAGGGGGGGGGGGGGGTCCAGGCTCACGTATTTTACAGCTTTGAGGTGCAGCATGCTGTAAAAATATTTAAAGCGTCTCCTATGGAGATTTTCAAGTATCCTAGTTTGCCTCCATTCCGCGAGCGCGCACATTCTTAAAGCGTGACATGTTTGGTGTCTACTTACTCGCCGTAACATCACCTTTTATATTGGAGCCAAAAATTTGTTCACAATTTTTTTTTTTTTGCAATAAATCCATTAAAGTGTATTTTTTGCAAAAAAATTTTTAAAAAAAATGCGTCTTAAAAACCGCTGCGGGAATACCGTGTATTAAAAAAAAAAAATGTCAGCACCCCCCCCCCCCCATTTTATTCTCTGGGGCCTCTGATAAAAATACATAATGTTCAGGGCAGGAGCGGACTGACCATTCGGGCACTGCCCGAGGGCCCGGGGTCAGTAGGGGGCCCCATGGGATGCCCCTGGTACCTTTTATAGGCTCTTTTTTGGGTGTGCTATGAGTTTGGGCGAGGACACAGGGGCCCCATGATCCCCTATTGCCCGGGGGCCCCATGAGTTGTCAGTCCGCCCCTGGTTCAGGGGCTCCGATTATTTTTTTAGCAAAAAAAAAAACAAAACATTTTTCCACGCAGGAGAGGCGTGTCAGAACAGGACTGGCCTACAAGTGGTTAATAAATATTTAAAATGCCCCTCTCCCACCTGTGCAAGTGGGAGGGGACAGGAAGTTCTATTGATGGGTGGAGGTCCCCTTTAAGTAATGGGTGAGAAGCTTCTGCCTGTCCCTCTCTGCTGACAGGGAGTCTCACTCCTGCTTCACCAGTGACATTCCCCCCGAGGGTGGGCGGAGTTGGGAACACTAACACCAGCAATAATAACCCTTCCAGGCTCCGCCCACATGGGGGGCAGATAAACGCCCCCCCTCAGGAAGGTCTCTGTTCACAGCCCGGGATTTTGGAGTGACGTCACCGGGCTTCCCTCCCAGCATTCCCCAAGGCTTGGGGGTTGTCGGGTCGGGGGTCCTCGCACTGTTACCTGCACCCTCCGCCGCCTCTTCCTGCTTTCCCCGCACTGACCGCGGATTGGCCGGAGAGCCTGTCCGTCGGCGGCGAGACTGGAGGGGGCGGGGAGGAACACGAATATCTGATTGGAGGAGCGCTCTCCTATCGGCGAACGGAACGTCCCGCCCCGTCAGGTCATGTGACTCCATCCTGGCTCTGTGGAAGACATTTTTTTCGGTGATCAGAATGTAGAGGGCGAAGTGTTCAGGTCTCCAAGGAA